TTTCTTCTTTTTCCCAAAGAGCATCACTTTGGTGCTCAAGAACCATGACCAAACTGCCCCATTCTTTTCAGGAACAATTATACTATTACCTATGAGCAAAATTTCATTGGTTTTCTGAAAGTACCTTGGATATTGACATTCTGCCAATATAAATCGCCATGTTCAAGTCTAATGTATGTGTAACCATTTGCAGAAAAGACTTATCTCACTCAAATTATAGCTCAATAGTCATAATTAATCCTTCTACTTCAAATGCCACAAGCCTACTCATGTTTTAGCAATTAGATTTTAAAGTGCATCAATAAGACTAGATACTTCAGACTTCAGTGTTATTCAATATAGTACAAGGCAGAATGAAATTTATTTAGCTTGCGTTCCTGGTAAGGATAGGTGTCATTACCTGGCTAGGCCTAACTGTAGAAATTAAGAATTATGCTCACTACCCCCTAATTTTAATAACATTTTGAGTTAAACAGATCATACCACTGAATCTCACATCAGCAATAATGAGAGTGGTTTTAAAGTCATGGGCTTCCTGAAAATTCCTGTGGACCAGAATTTATACCAGATTCTATGTATGTATGTATATATGTATGTATGTATGTATTTGTTTACTTATTTATTTATTTATTTATTTAGCAGGGTGGGGGTGGATACTCTCCTTCAAGCCATGGCCCATGTATGGAGGTCAGAGCACAACTAGTGGGAGGCAGTTCTCTTTCCACTACATGGGTACATGGGATCAAACTCAGGTTATCAGGCTTGGTGATAAGTTGCCTTTACAAGCTGAGCCATCTCACAGGTCCAAGATTCTGTTTTGACAGGACTTCCAAATGTTTAAAAATGAATTTATCATCTCAGCTGTCCTTCGGTGCAAATGGGACTTAACATGTACGGCAGAATATATGTGATCCAGTGTGTGTGTGGGGGATTGGGGGGCATGGATGGGGGAGGGGGTCTGAATTTGATCAAGAACTTTTGCATAAAATGTATAAAAGCTCAATATAAATTTTTTTTAAAACCTGATCTCTACCACTGCCACCCAGTTAGTCAGGAGTATTTTACCTCTTTAAAACAACAACAAGTCTTTTTGGTTTTTTGAGACAGTTTCATGGAACTCAGTCTAGGTTAATAGCTGAGGATGGCCTGGAACCTCTGATCCTCTTGCCCCTCAACCAGCATGCTGGATTGAGAGCTGTGTGCTACCATCATCCCTTTAAAGTATTTTTATTTTGAAATGATTTTACATTGACAGAATAACAACAGTCATATAGTGTTTATCTTCACCTAGCTGTGACTAATATAATTTTACATTTGACTCTAAACATTGATTAAAACTAAGAAATTAATAATGGCTATTAGTGTCTATTCATTGTATGTAGTGCTGAGCTTCACAAAGACAACGTCTACCTTTTTTAGACTAAACATTTATTAGAAATTGAATCTAAAATTATATTGTCACTTCACTTCCACTAGGGGGGGTTAACTCTATGCGTTCAGGTACAATTTAGATCTATTCCTAGCTAGTCTGGGATGTCACAAGTAGGTGCTTTAAGCAAGTTTTAACTTTCAGGCTCAGAAACTCAAGCAGGGATGAAAACGGAGCACACAAGCCATTCAGAGGTTGCTGAAATAAAGTATCTGAGAAGGAAAATCTCTTTTTAAATTCCAAAATCTCTTTTAAATTCCCAGTTTCTCTTAAAAGTATAAATTATTGGGGCTGGAGAGATGGCTCAGAGGTTAAGAACACTGGCTGTTCTTGTAAAAGACCCAGGTTCAAATCCCAGCACCTACATGGCAGCTAACAACTGTCCATAACTCCAGTTCCAGGGGATCCGACAGCCTCTTCTGTCCTCCACGTGCATTGCATGACATGGGTACACTTACATACATATAAAAATAATAAATAAAATGTTTTAAAAATATATAAATTGTTTTATTTGTTGTATGTACTGTGGTTGTGCATGTGCTGTGTTGTGGTGTGTGGACGTCAGAATAGAACTAGCACCAGCCAGTTCTCTCCTTCTACCATGCAGGTCCTAGGGAGTGAGCTCAAGTGGTCAGAATTGACAGCTAGTGCCTTTATCAGGTAAGACACCTCTGAGGCCACCCCAGTTTCATTTTTGTGGCTTTTGCACTAATCCTTTTCAAGAATGAGTATGTATAAACTGAATCCCTCTTTGCAAAGAAGTAAGGCTTTTAAACTTCTGATCTTGGACATTCCTCTACATGTTTCTTTTTCTTTTCTTCCATTGATTGATGGATTAACCAACTGATTGATTGATTGATTGATTGACTGAGACAGGGTCTTACATTGCCTTTCTTGGCTTTGGACTCCTGATCCTCCTGCCACTGCCTCCCCAGTGCTGGGATTACAGATTTCTGTCACCGCCATGCCTGGCTCTGCTACACTGTTTCCATATTTTACAATATATAATCTAAATAGTGAACCTGTTACTCAACCAACTTGGAAATTCAGTGTCAACTAATTTTTAGGTGTGATTTCTGAGCCAATTAGTTCCAAAGCACAAATAACTGATAGTTAATTTTAGTCGAGGGATTATCCACCCATGTAAGTAGGTGCACAATACAGAGAACTGTTCAAGTGAAGCCTAGGCCAGACCAAGTAATATGGGTAGACCCTTATATTTTCTTAACACTATCTTCTAAGATATGGTTTCAAAACTAGCTTTTAGGAACAATGGGGGACCTGAGCAAAAGGTTTAGGTGGGGGTAAAATATGGTCCAAATACGTTGTATGAAGTTACCAAGGAATTAATAAAAATGATTTAAAACATGCAAGAATATTAATACAAGAAGGTTGGCTTTCCTAAAAGAAATTAAAATGTATGTATTTTTTTAAGTTATCCAGGCATGGTGGCGCAGAACTTTAGTCCTAGTACTCAGGAGGAGGAGGTAGGCAGATCTCTGAGACATCAAGGACAGCATGGTGAGCTGGGGCCACAGAGAGACACTGACTCAAAAAACAAAAAAACACAAATTAGAAAAGCCATATGGAGTTGAAAGGGAACAGAAAAAAATCTACGTCACAGGACAATTTATTTCAGGCTTTTATTTTTAAAGCAGCTCCTGTTTTTATTTTGGTTTAAATCAAGTAACATAATTCCTTTCTGTTCTGCTCATCCAAATCCAAGAAGTCTCTCGACTGGGGGCTGACACCCTGGCTCCCCTCTTTTTTTGTTGTGATAATTTTGGGCTGATGGGCCTCAGCCACAACACTCCGGTTTTAACGTCAAAAGACTTCATGTGACTATTACCCTAGGGGCACCAGAGACTTAGGACTTTTGATGTCAATTGGCATGTTCGGGATCATGGCCACTAAGACAGAATTCACTCATTGTAAACTGCATCTCAGAGATCAAATTTAAACACATTGTGACATTCAAGTAAAGTGATGAGTGCTCAGTAGTTTTTAAGTTCACCTACATTTTCTATATACAGAGGCCAGCCAGCCAGCCAGCCAAGCACACTTCCCCCATCTTCATTCCTCCTAACAGGCAGGGTACTACCAGTGTACTTTCTGTCTAGTCCTACAAGGCAAGGCTCTCCAATTCAGATCCATGCTAGACCTGAACTCCTGGGGATGTTAATACAGTTCAGGTGAGAAGCAAGAAGTCCTGAGGCTGGAAAAATCTAGCTAGGGCCTGAAGTCTGGCAGGCATTCGGAACCGCCTGCACGTTTATGGAGAGGCTGGGGCGGCTGCGGCGGCGGCGGCTCAACTTTGGGACTGGCAAGCAGCCAGGGGCGGGGGTGGTCGGCGTCCCCTGCCCTCTCATTAGATCGCATAAGTTCTGCGGGTGGAGAAAAGTAAACAGAGGCAAGTGCAGCTGTGCAGCGGAAGGGGCTCCGGCTGCCCTCTGGGCTCTGCCTCCCGGGAGCTCCGAGCTGTCCCGGGTGCCACAGCCCAGATTGTGCGCTCTAGGCTGAGGAGCCAGAGCAGCTAGGAATCTAGAGGACCGACAGGGCGGCGAGAGGCTGGGGGCTAGGAAACAGGAAAGGTACCATTGGACTGGCGCGGAGATGTTCTGCTACCGAAAGAACACACACACACACACACACACACACACACACACACACACACACACACTCGAACGCGCACACACAAAAGTGCTTACTCATAGGGAGCTGTGGCGCGATCGCGACGCCCTGGGAAATGGGAAGGGAGGGGAGCCGGCGGAAGGTGGGCAGCCCAGGCCAGGTTCCTTCCTGGGGCCACCACACCCGCACCGGGTCCTGCCCCTCAGGGAGCCTCAGGGTCTGGGCTAACCGGCCGGGTCACCCGCAGCTGGGATCGCGCACACACAAAAGTGCTTACTCATAGGGAGCTGTGGCGCGATCGCGACGCCCTGGGAAATGGGAAGGGAGGGGAGCCGGCGGAAGGTGGGCAGCCCAGGCCAGGTTCCTTCCTGGGGCCACCACACCCGCACCGGGTCCTGCCCCTCAGGGAGCCTCAGGGTCTGGGCTAACCGGCCGGGTCACCCGCAGCTGGGATCCAGGACCAGCGGGAGGCGACCCGCCCGGCGCGGCAGGGAGGGAGCCGGGAATGGCAGAGGCTGGAGAAGGACAGCAAAGACAAGTTAGGCTCTGGGTTTCCACTTGGAGGGGCCTTTGCCGCCTTGTGGAATCTGGGCAAGGGTTGGCTTCAAGGACCTCCCGGTGAAGTTGGGCAACAAGTTAGAAACAACTAGCAAGCAAACAGTGAGAGCAGGAAAAGTGCTGGCTGCTGGTGGAGAAACCCTCGGTAGCTCCCACCCGTCCATGTGGTGAATGGTCGCCCGGGAGCCTCAGAAGACTCCAGATGAAGATTTCTCCGATCTCCCCAGTTTCCCATCCCCTCGTGTCCC